CCCTGTGAGTTCCCTGGGCCGCCTTCCACCCCTCCAGGCTGCAGAGCTGTTCCTGCCTTTGCTTTTCTCCCAAGTTCCCTTCTGTCTCTGTCTCTTTCTCTGTCTCTCTGTCTCTCTGTCTCCATGTTTCCCTCCACCAAGCTGGGGAGCCTGGGCAGACCCCTCACTTGCAGAGAGGTGTGTGCTGGGCCCCCCAGGTGCATCCCAGCCCTAGTTGGCAGGCCTGGGCCCTGTGCCCCCCATGCCCCCCGTCCCACACGTCTCCACCTCTCCCCTCACCAGCCAGTGACCCAGCTGAGGGACTCGGGTCCAGCCCCAAGCTGGAGCCTCCCCCATCTCCCCACTCCAACCGGAAGAAGCACCGTCGGAAAAAGAGCACCGGGACCCCCCGACCAGATGGCCCCAGCAGTGCTGCCGAAGGTTAGGGGGGCCCAGAGGGAGCCTCGGGCGCAGGAGGTGGGCCATGGGGCTCGGGGCTCGCAACCCAAACTGAACCACCTGGTTTCCGTATGAGGCGGACTGAGCGCTTTGTAGTGGAAGTGGATCTACAGCTTCTTCCCGTCATCTAGACCCAGTGTCAGACAAGTTCTGTCCTCTGCCCCCCGAGACCTCCCTGTTGACGCGGGAGCTCACGGCTCTTACTCTTGAAGAAGGTGAACGCACACGGCCACAGTGGCTCTCCCAGGACTGGGGCGGGGCCTGTGTTTTCTGTGTCTCTTGTATCACCCACGGAGGCTAATGAGTGCTGGGTACATAATAGGTGCCAATACATGCGTATGGATCGGCTGACTCTCTCCTTGGCCTCCTGTAGATCAAGGATTGCCAGCCCACCCCCCTCCCCCGTGGTACCTTCCTCACCGTCGGTTGTCATTATTGGCTTTACTGCTGTAGCTTTAGAACCTCCCTCTTCTGTGATTGGGGTCTCTTGGCTTCCAAATAAGCTTACTCCTGTGGACCTGGGATTTCTCCTCTCCGTACTGTCAGGGTTAAGGGCTTGCGTCCGACGGGTGATGCTTGGTGGTCACAGCATAGCGCATTCGCTGTGGTCCCAGGAACCAGGCCACAGGTGGCCGCGGAGACGGTCACAGCTCAGAGGCAAGGTGGGGTGCCAGGGTGGTGCGTGAGGGACGTGGCAGTGCCAGTGCCCCGGATGCAGGAAGGCAGTGCAGCTTGGGGGGTGGCCAGGGGGCGTGGCCAGCCCTGGAGCTGCCCCACAGCAAGTCCCGATGCTCAGTAGGCATCATGACCCACCCATCGGGGAACCAGATGCATTTGTGTGTCCATCTCGTGGGAGGGGGCCTGGGAGCAGGCCTAGGGAGAGCTCCACCGTGTGGCTGGCACCCCCGGGCCGCCCGCAGGCGTCCTCCCATCCCTGTGTGCTCGCACCCCCGGGGCTCCTGGGGGAAACCGCTCCCCCTCTCCTGCATCCACTGGCCCTGCCCGGCTGTCTGTGCCAGCGTAGTGGGGGAGGGGCCCAGCTCCCAGGAGCCCCACACTGACGCCGTCAGGAATATTGGGTTTAATGAGGTGCAAAATGAGGCGGCTGCAGCTGACACGTACGGATGGTGCCCACACCCGCCCTCCCCCGCCCTCTCCCGGCGTGTGCCTCCTTAGCACCCCATCGCGTCCCTCTGTAGACACCTAGCTCGCCTTTCTCCAGGAGGCACCCTTCCCGGCAGGGCCAGGCCCGCTGAGACCTTGCCCACTCCTCCCACCCTGGGCTCCACAGGTGGTTAGGAGCGGAGGTTTGTGGGTTCGCTGTGCTTCCCCAGGCCCCTGCGGGTTGTCGTGGAGAGAGTGGTGGAGGAGGAGGTGTGCATGCCGGGGTGGTGGCGAGGGAGGCTGACGGCGTCAACGCCCCTTCCCCCAGAGGCCGAGGAGTCGTTTGAGTTTGTGGTGGTGTCGCTCACCGGGCAGACGTGGCACTTCGAGGCCTCCACGGCGGAAGAGCGGGAGCTGTGGGTCCAGAGCGTGCAGGCTCAGATCCTGGCCAGCCTGCAGGGCTGCCGCAGCGCCAAGGACAAGGTTGGCACGGGCCGGCTGGGCCCACACGGAGGGCGGGCTAGGGTGGGGCTGGGTTGGGGGCCGGGGGAGGGGGTGAGGGCTTGTCACCGACCGGGCACCCTGCCTCTCCCACTGTGCGGCAGGCTCGCCTGGGGAACCAGAACACAGCTCTGGCTGTGCAGGCCGTCCGCACCGTGCGCGGCAACAGCTTCTGTATCGACTGCGATGCACCCAGTGAGTGCCCAGGCAGCGGGGGCTGGGGGAGGCCGGGAGGGCGTCCCTGGCTGTCCCAGCCTGGCTGGCGGCCTGCTGCATCGTCCTTTCCCTCCATGCATAGATCCAGACTGGGCCAGCTTGAACCTGGGCGCCCTCATGTGCATCGAGTGCTCGGGGATCCACCGCCACCTGGGAGCTCACCTGTCCCGGGTCCGCTCCCTCGACCTGGACGACTGGCCGCCCGAGCTGCTGGCTGTCATGACCGCCATGGGCAATGCCCTTGCCAACAGTGTCTGGGAGGGGGCCTTGGATGGCTATGCAAAACCAGGGCCTGAAGCCTGCAGGTGAGTGGGTGGGTGGGGTACCCCGTGGCCGTGTCAGTGTCAGAAGGGTTAAATCGAGCTTGCAAGCGGTGGCTCTGCTTGGCAGTTGGCCTCTGGGGGCGGCCCTCCCCCTCGGTGGTGCCTGTCACTCAGGCTGCTCACAACAACAGGCCCTTTCTGAGCCTTATCAGCAGGTCAGGGGGCCAGCAGGAGGCGCATGCGCAGGGCCGTGTGGTGGGGAGCGCCCCAGCCTGCCTTCTAGATGGGGAGAATGGGTGGGAGATAGGGTCTGCAGTGGCCCCCTGTGCGGGCCCCTACCCGCTTTGTTCCAGTGCTGCCAATCGAGAGAGTTCCATGGCCAGATAAGCTGCCACATGGGCCTGCCTGGAACCTTCCTGCCCTCCCAGCCCCCCCAGCAGCCCTGCTGCCCCCCAGGGACCTCCCTTCAGTGTCTCTTCCTGTCAGCTCCCCTGCCCCTCCCCACCGCCACCACTGCCCCTCTGTGTGCCCTGGAGTGTCCTAGGCGGCCCCGTCCTCCTCCCCCTCTCTCACTGTTGCTTCCTCCTCCTGGGCCCCACCCGCCGGGCGGCGTGTCCTTTGCCTGGACGCCGCTGGACCTGTGGCTGCAGAGAGGAGAAGGAGCGCTGGATCCGAGCTAAGTACGAGCAGAAGCTGTTCCTGGCGCCGCTGCCCAGCTCGGACGTGCCGCTGGGGCAGCAGCTGCTGCGGGCGGTAGTGGAGGACGACCTGCGGCTGCTGGTGATGCTCCTGGCCCACGGGTCCAAGGAGGAGGTGAACGAGACCTACGGGGACGGGGACGGGCGCACGGCCCTGCACCTCTCCAGCGCCATGGCCAACGTGGTCTTCACACAGCTGCTCATCTGGGTGAGTGGGGGGGCTCCTCCGGCTGAGGACAGCTGTCCCCGCCCCCCACCCCGGCCCCCCATGTCACACCTGCTGTGACCATGTGCTCTCTCCTGCAGTACGGGGTGGACGTGAGGAGCCGGGACGCCCGGGGCCTGACGCCGCTGGCATACGCCCGCCGGGCCGGCAGCCAGGAGTGCGCGGACATCCTCCTCCAGCACGGCTGCCCTGGGGAGGGCTGCAGCCTGGCCCCCGCCTCCGGCAGAGATCCGGCCAACGGCCCCAACCCCTCTGCTGAGCTGCACCGGAGCCCTAGCCTCCTATGAGGCCCAAGGAGAGGGCAGAGGGGCCGGAAGGACTCCATGTGTGGCCAGGGCACAGAGGTGGAGAAGCCAGGACGGGCAGCGAGGAAACCCAGAGGGGCCGGCGAGCCAAGGAGAGGTTTGGGATTCTAAGCCGCTGCAGAGAGTGGGAGTGTGGTGTGCAGCCCCCTGCCCTGAGGTGCCGCTGAGGAGGGACGGGACCCTTTGGAGGTGCCTGTGAGGAGAGGGGAGCAGGACCTCTCCCTCCTCCAGACCCCGCCCTCCCAGGGCCAGCCTCCCGTGGAGGAGGACAGGGCCCAGCCTAGGCGTGCGGGCCGAGTGGCGGGGTCTGGCCTGCGAGTCCCATGTAACATTTGTACATTGGAATATTTATGTCTGTGTACATACTCGGTGTGCGTGTATGATGAGCCAATAAACAGACTGCGTGTGCGGCCTCGTGCCCTCTGCTGGCTGCCCCACCACCACCACCACCACCACCACCACCACCACCACCAAGCGCGCTCCTGGCCTCCCCCTGCTCTCCCCTGGGCTCTGTGTTCTGAGAATTCGCCCCTCATCCAGCAGTGGGGGTCCCAGGCAGCCATCCCCGTGCAGACGACTCCTCGGGCTGAGCTGGCGCCCAGGCTTCCCTCGCCGTTGGCTGCACGGCACGAGGCACCCAGAGAGGATCAGAGCTCCTTGCTTCCATGCGCCGCACCTCACCCCTGCACCTTCAGAAAGCTCTGCCAGCCGGCCCTGCCACCGTTGCCAGCTCAAGGAGAGGGCATGGGCCTCGCCCACTTCCTCGGACTCCAGGGGCCACCTCACACGGCCAGGTGCACAGCGCCGGGAGGACTCGGCAGCTGTCCCTGTCTGATTGGCCGGGGCGCGGGTCAGCTGTGTTTCTGTGTAGCTGTGCCTGTGCCTAGGGGAGGAGGTGGGTCACGGGTGGTAATCAGCCACCTTAACTCCTACCAGCATCTGGCCAAGTCAAGCTGGGGGTGGGGGGGCAGGACCCAGAGCCCCCTGCTTTCCCTTCCGACTGGATCCCTTTGTTATTCTTGAAGACCGATCTGGGGATGGACCCCCACCCCCCACCCCCCACTCCCGGCTGGTTATTGAACAACAAGCACTTGCCAAGTTAGGGTCCTGGTTGGCTGAGAAAGTCTGCTGTTCTGTCCCATGCCTGGAACCACTTTGCTCCTGAAACACCTCACGGATGTGGCTGTGGGGGCCGGCGCTCCGTGCATGGGCACCTGCCTGTGTGGAGGTAAATCACCCAGGAACACCGTCCAGAGAGGAAACCAGACTTTATTTCTCAGTCCACAGCCCCTTCTGCAAGACGGATAAGAGCCTTCCACATAGATAAGGGCAGAATAGAGGGGTCAGGGGCACGTGAAGGACTGGGTTCCTGGGTTCAGAAAATGTTAGCAACAGTCGCCTCCAGACTCCCCGGGGGCAGTCAGCTTAGGTAAAGGCAGGAGAGTGCAGTGAGTGCCCCACGTGTGCGGCCTTTCCGTCCGGTGCTCGCTCCCCCTCCACCCCAGGGAGAGGCCGCTCAGCCTTGTGAGGGGTTCAGCACCTGCTGGAGTGAGCAGCATCGACGAGCCGGCCGGCCCAGGGTTGGGAACAGCCAGCATTGGCCCTCTGAGGACAGGGGGGCAGTGGGCCGGGTCCGACTCGGGCGTGCATCCCTCCCCTCCCTGACCTTCACACCGTGACTTCCTGAGTTTCCTGGGCTGGCTTGCAGCCTGCCTGTTCCTCCTCTCCCTGACTGTTCTCTGCCTTGGCTCGCTGTCCACTCACATCACCGCAGGTCACCCCGATGCCAACCTCAGCTGGTTTCTGTGTACCCCGCTGGGCTGTGCACCCCGCTCCTTGTGTTTGCTCACAGAATCCCAATCCCAAAGCCTCGAACTCCATCTCCATGGCCTCCCTCCAGTCCCCACCCTTCCAGATCCGTCACAGGTTTGCTTCTGTGCCATGCACTCTGCAGTGGCTCCTCTCCTGTCTCAGAAGAGACGGTGGCATCCCCTGCTTCAGATACAGCATGAGCTGTAGCAACAGAAAGCTGAAATTGAGCCCTTTCCCCCAGGCCCTTGCATCTGGAGTATCAATGTCCTTCCCAGAGGAGACCACTTATTAATGAGCCCCAGGGGATACCGACTGGCGGGACCCTACCCGATGACCTGGACGCACCCCAGCTAGGCCAGGGTCAAGGATTCCGTTTCCTTTCGGAACACGAAGGCAGCGAATCTGCATCCCGAAGCCTGCCAAGTCCTCGGGAGAGGAGGGCACAGAAATGAAGAATTCCACCTGTGTGATGGGGAGAGGGGACGAAGTGGCAGGATCAGAGCAGGAGCTGAAGGGGTGGGTAGTGGATGGGCACAGGAGTGGAGGTAGCTTACATGGCGGGTATGTGTGTGTGTGTGTGTGTGTGTGTGTGTGTGTGTGCAGGAATGTCTGGGGGCGGGACAGAGAGCTGCATTTCACTAAAGAGTGTGCCTGCCCCAAAGTAGCATTGCAACAGATTGGCTGAGGATCAAAGAAACAACTTTCCCAGGCCCTCTCTTGGCTGCAGACAGAGACATCGCTCCGTATATACAAACTTTACACAAAATAAATAAGAGTGTGGTCCGCTTGGCCAGGTTTCACACTGGATTCCTCTTCCCAGTCAGAGCTGCTCCCCAGGAGTCCACATCAGTCCCTCTGACTGCAGCCCCTGGTCCTCTAGGTCCCTGGAACAGGTTCTGGGGGAGCACCCCTGGGGCTGGGGGCCTTGCCCAGTGGGCCCCGCTCCCAGACCAGCATCGCAGCCCAGGAGCCCCCTCAGGCCCACAGAACCTGGCTCAGGCTGCACAGGCTCGGGGCGGATCCTCTGCCTTCCGAAGTCCTTGTGGGGCCGCTCAGGGCCGGGCGCCCTGCTCCATTTGTTGGTGCTGGCTCCGCACGGCAAACCTGTTGACATGCACGGGAATTGGCACAACGATCTTGGGGTTGCGCACGGGCTCCCCGGAGCGGCTGCTCACGTTGCCGGCTTTGATGCGCTTCCACTTGGCCCGGCGGTTCTGGAACCAGATCTTGACCTGCACCTCACTGAGCTTCAGGGCGTGGGCGATCTGGGAGCGCTCCGTCAGGCTCAGGTACTTCTTGCAATGGAATTCCTTCTCCAACTCCAATAGCTGCTCGCTGGTGAACGCCGTGCGGCGCCGCCGGCTCTTCCCCCCGGGAGCGGTGACCCCAGCCGCCACCGGCGCCCCCTCCTCAGCTCCAGTCGCCAGGCTCCCCTTCAGCTTCGGCTTAGGTCCCAGAAGAGCCCCAGGGCCCCCTGCAGCACTGTCCAGGAAAGCGTCGTCCTCGCTGTCACCGCCGGAGCCCTCTTCCTCCTGCTCACTGCCTGCCGGGTCTCCTGCAGGGGCTTCCAGTTTCTCCTCGTCTGAGCTGTACACCTTGCCCTCCGCTGTGGGGAGTGAAAAACCGATGGGTAGGGCAAGGCAGAGACAGGCAGCTTGGGGGGGGGGGGGCACAAGGGGCCATGGCCAGGGATCCGAGAGAAGCCGCAGGAAGAGGTGATGGGCGTGCAGAGGGTGATGGGGGAGGAGGCAGGGGGCAGAATGTCCAGGTGGGAGGTTTAGGGGAGACAGATGGGAAGAAAGGTATTAACCAGCACGGATTCTCTACGGGGAAGAGGGGAGGCAGTAAGTGCACAGGGAGGGACCTCGGCATCCCCACTGCCCCAGCTCCTCCCTGCCTGCCACCTCCCCGCTCTGTCCAGACCCAGAGACCAAGGCCCCTGCCTTCCACTCTGCAAATGCAGCCCTTGCGGCCTCAGGTCCCAGGATGAAGCCGTGAGGGAGCCGGCTTGGGCACTTTGGAAGCCGCTGTGGGGGGAGCGGAGCCATGCAGGGGAATGGCCCGGGGCTGTGGCCTTTGCGGCTGTCCCAGGAGTCCTCGTCTGGCCTCGCTGGCGAGAGCTGCCTCCTAACCGCGACTCTGCCTTTCCTTCCTTCCCTCCTCACCAGATCTGGAGTCACAGATGGCACCTTCAGGTCCATCCGGCCCCACCCCATATCTGGGCCCAAGAAATGTTTTCAAGGGACTTGGAGACAGGAGGTTTCCTGGGAAGCCCCTCCCAGGTTCTTATAACAGACCACCCACCGCATCTGGCCAGATTTGTCCCTCTGTGACGTGGTCTCCCCACCCCTCCACCTCCACTCCCCTTGCAGTCCTTCTCCTTCATTTTAAAGTGATGTCATCGCCTTCCCACCTTCCCTCTGTCCTGGCCAAGGTTGCCTGGGCAGCACAGACAGCTGCTTTCGGCCCTGAGCTAGGACTGCAGGGAACGTGGGAAGAGGAGGAAGAAGCACAAGTGCAACAAGGGAAAATGCAGAATTGGCAGTGACCAAAAAAAAAAAAAAAAAAATTGTTGACTCATTTAGTAGATTATTGATTATTTGTAACCACAGGCACATAAACACTTTAATCTATACCTAATAATAAAGTTAACACAACCATTGGTTTTTACCTACTTATTCACTGATGTTTTTATCAGGACTACAAATAACGTATTACAAGTGTTTTCAGTGTTCAAGTTTTACAAACTCCCTTGTTTCCTGCCCAAAGAACCAAAGAGCTGTGACACAACAAAAAGTCACAAGACAGGCAAGAGAACAGGAGAAACATGGATAACCTACAAACGGAATAGTCGGCTCCCTCCCGAGATTCACCGGGACTCGGAACGTCCGCGGCGGTGTCTGTCTGCACCGACCCCACAGGCAGGTACACTCCCAAGCACACTCGGGTTGAGAATACAGCTCGAAGTGAAGCAAATTCAGGGTACAGAGGAACACTAAGTGTGTGTGTGTGTGTGTGTGTGTGTGCGCACGTGCGCGTGGTGGCAGTGTAGATGGGGGGGGGACAGCTCCCTCAGGCAGAGCTCCAGGGTTCTCCCCGACCTTGCCCCCCTGCCCACAGCCGCCAGGGCCAGCCCAGTCACCTGCAGTCTCCTCTCCCCCTCACCACTGCAGTCCATACCCGCTCCTTTTCCCAAAGAGCCACAGCGACATTTTCCGTAGAGGCCAGGACTCAGCCCCTGTCCACGTCACTGGCTCCATCCCAGTTGGCTTCTCCACCCCTGCAGGGGGTTTTGACCCTCACCCTTTCTTCTGGGGGTGTTTCATTCCTCATCTAAGCTCCTGATACCTGAGTGCCCCAGTGCCCAGCTTAGGCTCCCTCCTATCCGTTGCTTTTCACCAGCAACGGTCCCTGTTCTCGCCACATCTCGGCCGCGTGTCCCCGGCGCCCTGTGTCTGTGCAGCATCCACAGGTCACACACTCCTCCTGCTGATCACCTTCATCCCCAGCCAAATCCTTGTTCCCTGCAAGACTCACATCCGGGGTTTCCCCCTTCATCCCAATCAGGGCGCATTATCCCCACACTATCTCCCGCTTCCTCAGAACTCAAACATCACCCCCCACCCCATACACACACACACACCAAACCGCTGCTCTTGCCCCCCAGACGAGTTCTTCCCCATCTTAGCTACGTCTTCCTCATCGCAATGGGAGCTCCACCCACCTCGAAGCCAAACTTCCCTCTCCACCCACATCCAGCCAGGAACAAATCCCTTTAGTGCTGCTGCCCTGCAAATAAACCCAGAGCCCAAGCCTTCTCACCACCTCCTCTGCTTCCAGCTGGCCCCAGTCACCAGCACCTGGGCCCTGGTTCCCTGGCGTCTCCTAGCTGGCTTCCCACTTCTGCCTCCCTCCCCCTTCCCCGTGTCTGGAATGTTAGGTGGTTCACCTCGGTCTCTGGTCTCTGCACAGGCTCACTCCCGACCGACCGCCTCCAGGTCTCCACCTGACCACTGAGACCTTCCCTCGTCAGCCCTTAGGAAGAAACCCTCCAGCGCTCGCTGCCTTGTTGCTATAGCACCCGCCACCAGCTGGATCCGTTTGTTTCATCGGCTGCTTCTCCCAACTCGAGTGGACGCCTCATGCAGACAGGAACTGAATACGTTTCCTGCACTGCTGTATCTTCAGCATCTTGAAAACGACTTGCACAGAGCAGGGCCTCAGCGAACGTTTGCTGACTAATGGGAGAAACTCTCTCCAAGCACAGGTGAGCACTCTTCCTCCCTCTCCCTCTCTCTCTTGCCATCTCTGTCCCTTCCTAAGATACTCCCTGCGATCCTGCTCCCTGAGACACCCTGCCCGCGGTCACCATCCTCCCCACTGTCCTGTGAGCCTTGGATCTCACCTATGCTGGAGGGGACCCCGCACACACCGTGGAAATCTCTAGAGCTTAAAAGTCCATTGAGAGGCAAGCACCATGGCATGGCGGGTAAAGCCACCGCTTGCAGTGCCAGCATCCCATACAGGTGCTGGTTAAAGTCCTGGCTGCTCCATTTCCAATCCAGCTCTCTGCTATGGCCTGGGAAAACAGCAGAAGATGGCCCAAGTCCTTGGGCTGCTGCACCCACGTGGGAGTGCAGCTGGAAGAAGCTCCTGGCTCCTGGCTTTGGATCGGCACAGCTCTGGCCATTGCGGCCCATTGGGGAGTAAACCAGTGGATGGAAGACCTCTCTCTCTGTTTATCTCTTTCTCTCTCTGTCTCTGCCTTGCTGTAACTGTGCCTTTCAAATAAATAAATAAATCTTTAAAAAAAAGTCCATTGAGCGCTAAATAAAATGAAGGACAGTCCCACCTTTACCAAATGCTCCAATTTTAATTTTTGAAGCCCAATTTATAGTAAAGAATTAACAGAACAGCAAAAGACTATAAAAACTCAGCCCAATGTTACAATATTTTAAATTATGCTAAAAGGGCAGAAACTGGATCTCGGGCTTGACGGATGAGATCATTTAGTACTGCTCCCAGCACCCAGGGGATGGCCAATAAATCTAAATTGATAGTGACTGAGATGAGCTCCCAGGTTCCCCGATCTGGCAGGGCCCTCCTCAGAGCCTGTCATCCATCCCTCTGTCTTCAGACATCCATAAAGGCACGCCTGCGTGCGCGCGGCCACCCTCGGCACCGCTTTGGAAGCCCCACGAGGAGTGCGGGTTCACAGCCTCTCTGTGACACTTGATCCCGGTGCGATGCTGAACGCTAGGGGCAGGAGTTTCTGTCTGAGGCTTTCCCATCCACCACTGAGGACTCTGATAAGCAACTCTGGGAACCGGGCTTTGGGGTGGGGGGGTGCCAGAAGACAGAGACAGAGAGGGGAGCACAGCCAGCGGCCTCAGAGGAGAGCATCTGGGGCAGCGGGTGAGACCCAGGAGGAGCGGGAGAGCAAGGAGAGGCCAGAGCAGGAGCGAGGACTGGAGCGAGAGGCGGGTGGGGACAGCGAGCGGCGGAAGAATTAAATGTGTCCGAGGAGATGAGAGGGCTGACAAGGCTTTCAGAGGAGAGACAGCACCTGGAGTTTTAGTGAAAACGCCCCTTGCCCGCACAACACTGCTACATTTGGAGCCAAGCAACACCTTCAGCCCTGCCACCTGTTCTCTGCCCCACCGTCAGGACGCCACCCCCACGGCGATGGACACAGGCGGAGGAGCCGGTGGCCAGGGGCAGCCACCCCAAAACCACTTGCTGTCTTCTCCCAGGTTCACTGAGACAGAAACGCAAAACACGTTCTTTATTCTGACTTACAGTGAACACTAATGATATATAAAAAAAAAAAGCCAAACAAAACAAAAAATTGCACGTACAAGTTTATTCTTGAGGAAACACTGACAGAAGAGGTCAATCTTTGTTTTCTGTTTTGTAAATTTCTATCTTGCAAACTTTGATGTAGAACAATTGGACTTCGTAGCTCTGCTATGCATTGAAAGTAAATTTCCAACTGTCGATGCTGGAATGGGTTGATCCGAATAAAAAATCTGATCAACAAAACCAGACTTCATTGGAACTTTTACATGGAAAAGAACGATTCTGGTGGGACTGCTGTCAGCAAGATGAAACTTGGGCCTGCGAGAAGTCTGGCCAGGGGGCACGGCTGTGGGCCAGACTGGTCATTTGGAAAGACACAGAGTTAGTGGGAATTCTGGTGGTAGCTGTTACCCTAAGAACCAGTGATCCTAAGGACTGACCCACGATGATCGAGTTCCTGCTGGGGCGGCACTCGGGCTCCGGGATCCCCTCACACGCAACCTTCCTGCCCTCTACACACAGCGGGGAGACCCACCTGGGTAAGGAGTCAGGACAGGCAGGGGAAGAAATCAAGGACCAAAGACTCCCAGTAAGAGTCCTCCCGCATAAGGAACACACAGCACCAGACCCACACGGTCTACAGGGGTGGTCCAGGGACACCCAAGAGCCACCCAGGGGACGCACGCAGCACCTCAGACGCCCAGCTGCAGGAGTGCCGCTGGCCCCCCCCCCAGGGGGGGCCGTCCCCCACTCAGCAGTCACTCCCACTCTGTCACAGAAGACAAGGCCCCTGGGTCGGACTGCGCT